TCATTGTGCATGTGTAATGTATACTATATAGTACTACTACTACTACTACTACTACTACTACTACTGATTCGGCTACTGATGCTGCTACTACTACATACTACTACTGATTCTACTACTGATGCTACTAGTATATACTATTACTACTGATACTTCTACTATATACTACTACTACTACAACTGATGCTACTATTATATACTACTACTACTGATACTACAACTATATACTACTACTTCTACTATATTTTACCACTACAACTACAAAAACGAACCGCAATTAAAGAAAATTTACCAAAATTGTGGCAATTAGACTGCGGATTTTATTACGCGTTTGAATCAAAAATGCATGACTGACATAGAAAATTCTTATGGCATAAGATCAATTTCACAACGTTATCACGTTATTGTCACCGCGACAGCATCATCGAAAGGAATAATTATATTATTTTTATTTAATTTCTGTTTCCTTTCTTTTACAACCGTCTTTTTACAACGCGAGCCAGGCGGTTCATCTAGCTTGCAATTCCATTCAGACCGGCACGAAGAAACAGTCGCCCGCAATTTTTTCCGCGCCACAATGCGCCTAATTTGGGACGATCGTGTGTGTCCCGCGCGCTGCCTTGTCGATCCCGTCTCCCTTCCAATTATCATCAAGATATATTCAATCGCGGGGACATCTAATCGGGGCACCGCAGGCGGCCGAATCTGCGGGCAGTTTATAAATCGGACCCTCCTTGTATATGCTGATAGAGGTCCAGTAGGGAGAGGCCGGAATCAATGTGATGGAACTCGGAATTAGGAGAAGAGAACTGCGCGCTCCCGCCCCACAATGAAGGGGATTTCAACCCTCCCGAGGGGATGTTCCGGTCGGCGAGTTATGCCCGGGGTGCCTGCTGCCTTCGGTCTCTCTGCTCCTGCCACGTCTAGCAACGAAGAATTCGGTGAGAATTTCGAAGAATTCCGGTTTGAAGAATCCGGTGCCGGATTCGGGCTGGCTCGGGCCGCGCGGGCGTATATATCGCGGCGCCACTGGCGTGCGGATCACTTGATAGGTTAACGAGTAGCGAGCGCGAGATGTGCTAGCAGTCACCTGAGACCGACTCCCCACTCCTCGACACGCAACGTGACCCGCGCACCGAGGAACGGAGCGGCGAGTGGGGGAAGGTCTCTGCGACTCCTAGCCGCCTCGCACTCAGCTACTCTCCAGCGCGTCACGTGACCCGCGCACCAAGGAACGGAGCGCCGAGTGGGGGAAGCCTCAGCGACTGCTAACCGCTCGCAATCTCGCTACTCCTCAGCGCGACACGTGTCCCGTGCGTCAAGAAACGGAGCGCCAAGTGGGGGAAGTAACTGCTAGCTTTTCTCGCGCTCTCTCTACCCCTTCTTACCGCGTCATGTGACCCGCATGCCGGCGATACCGTGATTTAGCCCGGCGGCGTAATGAAGCAGCGCTGTTCGGACAACCCGGCGCATCGTGGCGCCACCGGCGCTCGCATCACGTGACGAATTAAGAAATAGCAGACGCTGGATGTGCTAGCATATACAGGTTGCATCGCGCCGTAAATAACCCAGCAATATTCTGGGCCGGTTAATGGGTCCAAATACTATGGGAAGGCGCGCGTATCCTCCGGACTTACACGCGCCGCTACCAACGCGAAAAGTTCTCGGCGGCGTACTGGAAAATACACTCATTACGCACGATCGGGCTTGGATAAACATTCATTAAAGAGCGTCAATTATGAAAGCGCGATGGTGGTGGGGCGGGCGAGCACGCGCGTTTATAATGGACGCCGTAATTCATCGTAGACTGTTTAAATGATAATTGACGCGGGCACAAACGGCGCGGCTGGTTTTCACCGTGTTTAGCCGGGCGTGCACGCGAGTCCCTAATTAAAACGTCGTTTACAGGATTTTCGACATTCGCGTAGCGACAGGAAATTGTGGTTTTAGTACGGACAGTACGCCGCAGAGATTTGTTAAACGCGCTGAAATATTTACATTCGCGGAAATTTATTGCATATTTGATGGCGCGGGTAGCGCGGGCGCAGGAAGAACGCGGGGGCCGCGCTCGGGCCGCCGTCGGGCCGCGGCCGCGGCCGCGTCCGTTGCGTCCGTCCGCGGTAGCTCCGCGCTTAATAAAAAATGTATTATGCAACTTCTCGCATTATCGATCGCTGGAATAGCATAAATGATTGAATTATGCAAACGAGCCGACGTCAATTTCCATTTTTCTCTGTTCCGCCGGCGGTCCGTTCCGTTCGCGTCCACCGCCGCGGATCCTTTTCTTCGCCACAGCCATCGTCCCCCTTCCCCCTCCCCTCCCCGCCCCTGCTCCTCTATTTTCCTCCGTTCCTTCTGTAACGAGGAAAAAAATAAGGGAGAGGAACTCTTGATGAGGAGCGCGAAAAGAAGTAAACAAAAGCGCCGCGTACATTATCCGCGGGCCGTGGGCCGGGTTAGCCGCGCTCCATCGCCGGCTCCACTTTTTTTCTGTCTCCTTTTTTTCTCTCTCCCCAAGCGAAATATTGTGCACGGTTTGAGCTCATTACACCGGCTCGCCCGCCACTCGAACCATTATTCTTCATTAGCTGCTACCTCGATATCGAACTTCTTCGCGGCGAAGAAACAACGCCGCGTTTCAATTTCATTACTACCCGGGTCGGGCCGGGTCGGGCCGCGCGATCGTCTACATAGCGGCGCCACCGGCGCGCGGATCACGCGACGGGTTAACGAGCCGCGAGCGCGGCAAGTGCTAGCAGTCGCCCGAGGTCGTCTCCCCACTCCTCGGCTCGCCACGTAATCCACGCGCCGGGGAACGGAGCGCCAAGTGGGGGAAGGCCTCAGCGACTGCTAGCCGTCTCGCACTCGCGCTACTCCTCGGCTCGCCACGTAATCCATGCGCTGGGGAACGGAGCGGCGAGTGGGGGAAGTCCTTAGCGACTGCTAGCCGTCTCGCACTCGCGCTACTCCGCGGCTCGTCACGTGACCCGCGCGCTGGGAAACGGAGCGCCAAGTGGGGGAAGCGACTGCTAGCCGTCTCACACTTCTGCTAGTTCTTCTTACCGCGTCACGTGACCCGCACGCCGGCGACACGGCGAAATAGCCGACGGCGTAGCAAATCGGTGCTGTCTCAACAACGCCGCGTCTCGATGTGGCCGAGATAATCGCGCGGGATAGTTTCAGCCCGGTGGGGGCCACGATGGAACGCGCTGCGTGTCGCACGAGGCACGTGTGCAACCGACAACCCGACGCCGGGCGGTTTGGCTACCGCTGGCACGCTCCGAACGCAAAACTCTGCCGCAGTCGGAACGACTTTTGTTTTCGGGTTCCACCGACATTCGTTTCGCTTCGGTGACCGAGGCTCGAGTCCTCCGGACGACGCTGCGCGTCGATTTTCATCAGGAAAATTGGGCGCGCTGTGGTGACGGATGGTGGCTTTTGAGACTTTTAGTTGACGAAGCGGCCTGACTTTGTAATTGAGAAAAACGAATGAATTATCGAAATTAGTATTAATTATTACCGTTTTATTTACCGTTTAAAATTGTGCACATTTGTTTATTGTACATATATATTTATATTTAGCAATTGTTATCACAGTTCTGAAACAAGTGAAGCATATTGAATAAATGCGACGACTGCAAACACGAAATGAAGTTGTATTATATTTATAGACACTTTCAATACTTATATAGACTTATAAATATACATAATACTTATAGACACTTACAATTATATATACTTAATATTTACATACATTTGACTCAATAAACACTGAACGTCTTAAAGACGTCCATTTTACGTCCAGTTTAGGTTTGAGCTTCATACGCCCGAATGTCCTACTGCAGACGTCTTCAAGACGTTTTAAAGACGTCTTTGTGCCATCTGGGAATACTCGCATCGCATCCTGAAATGAATAAAATAGAACAAGAAAATAATATAAAATAAAACAAGATAAAGTACAACGAGATAAAATACAATAAATTAAACTGAAACAAAATACAACAATTTATACAATGTAATGAACTATTTAAAGATGCCGACCGCTTCCATTCAGTACCAAACAATTGTTCGTTAACATGATTCGACGGCATCCGATTTCAATTATCACGCGGAAGAAAGTCGTATCTTGGCGGTAAAGACCGCGCCGATGATTCCATTCATTAATTCCCCAGAAAGCAGATATATTCGTAATAATTGCGCGCGACGCCGGCCGCGTATCGGCTTCCATCTATTTGCGTAATGGTCGGTTTATTAATTTTCGATTCGAAATGAAAGTAATTGGAGCCCGGTATCTGGACAAAACGGCCATTAGTATTCATAAATTCGTTGAATGTCGATGGCGGGAACACGGAAGAGAGTGAGTGAGAGAGAGAGAGAGAGAGAGAGAGAGAGAGAGAGAGAGAGAGAGAGAGAGGGAGAGTGATTTATCGTACGCCGCCGCGGCTGTCGGTCTTGTGTAACTGCTAGAACCTTGGTCGACCGTTTAGCGCGGTCTTTTTTAAAGGGAAAACACGCGACACGGCTCGCGCGGCTTCGCTTGATGACTCAGCGGCGCGGGCGGGAGAGCGCGGATTTTCCACGCCGGTCGCTTTCGATTCCGTTTCGATCGGCGGCCGGCGGCCGGCGGCGGCGCGCTGCGGCCACTGTTTACCCTGCGTTCCACAAACATTCTAGTTCGCCGGCCGTTATTTTCGTAGGTTGACCCAAATCGCTAGAGCATAATTAACATTTCGATTCCCACTGTAAATTTGCTGATGTTCTTCTGCCGTGGGACCCCCTCTGCCCTCTCGTTCAGCTCGAATATAAACACACGGCACGTAGGATAAAGAGAGAAAGAGAGAGAGAGAGAGAGAGCAAGTGTTTGAGAAATCTGAGACGAACGGACCGTGTCGAATTACCGGCCGGTGTCGCGCGGCCAGCAAAAAATCGTGCCGAAGTGCTTGCTCTCTTCACGGGCTCGCGGCCATTGAAATTAGTCGCACGAGTTTCGGAGGACGTTTTTGCACCGCGGAACGCGCTACAGTCTATATTGTACCCCCGTGACCTTGAGACACTTTGGCAAGGTCGTTGTTTCGGGGCTTTTTTCTCCGCTAAGACAGAGTCTTCATTTTTCGAGACATTCGAGACGAGCTTGACAATGTATTTTCCGAGTATTGAAAGAAAGAATATTAATCAGAATAACAAGATTAGTTTTATTTCGTCATTTTGCTATAATTTTGTATATAATACTTGCTGCTTTTATTTATCATTATACTTTTTCGCATCCGTCGAAGTTGGTTTTTCTAGTATATGGTATTTCTAATATATAAAAATAACCGTGACATAACCTCGAAATTGACCTGGACAATTTTTATTTTGCACAAAAGTGGACGGTCCAATTAAAACGTGTGCTTCGAATTTAAAAAATTATTAAATTATTTGCTATAGAAATATTGCAAATAATACATACATAATGTAAAAATATATAGAAATAACATTGACATAACCTCGAAGTTGATTAGGAGAATTTGTATTTTGCATAAAAGTGGATGGTCTAATTAAAATGCATGCTTGAATTAAGAAAACTTAAATTGTTTGCTATGTAAATATATCAAATAATATATATATATAATGCAATAATATAAAGAAATAACCTTGGCATAACCTTGAAGTTGATCCTGGCAATGACAGTCCAATTAAAACGTGTGCTCGAATTAAGAAATCTGTTAAATCGATACCTAACCTAGACTTAACCTAGACCTAACCAAGACCTAACTTAGACTATAATCGCATGTTCAATTATTTCAGATCGCAAGATAATTGACCTAAGCTAGACCTAACCTAGACCTAAACTAGACCTAAACTAGACCAAACCAAGACCTAAAGTAGACCTAACCTATACTATAATCGCATGTTCAATTATCTCAGATCGCGAGATAATTAATTAATAACAGATTTACCGTGTCAATATTCGTTAAAAAAGATGCAATCTCGGTGCGCATCTGTTTCGAAACGCGGGTCTCCGTAAACGTGGGATTCCAAGAGGGACGCGATACATACATCGGGAAACAAATCGGCGATATTCCGACGGAAGCCCGTTTCGCCTATGCGCGGCAATTTTCAATTTGCGTTCGACCAGAGAAAAAGAAAAGGAAACACGTGGCCGACGCCCGACGAGAATCGAAATTCCCCGGTTCGGTATAAATATTCATGAAATTGACGTGCCTTATTTGCTTTCGTTTGCGCCGTTCCCTTCCTTTATTTTTGGATTTACATAAGCCGAACAGATTACTCCCGGGTTCGGGAAGAATTTGAAAGCTTCAATTACACCCGCGTCCGCGCTGGTCCCGCGGGGTGGAGTAGGGGGCGCGATAGTAGTCGCGCCCGCGGAAAAATAACAGTAATTGCGTTTCGGCGGTCCGCGGCGGGGCGCGGCGATGTTCCGCGCGTGTTCGCCGGAATTCTTGGAAAATTGAAATGCGAAATGAAAATCAAGGAGCGAATTGGCGCGCGCCGCGGCCGGCCAAGCCGTTGCCGTGAACGCGCTGAAAATAATATTAGCAGTTAGCGATCTTCCGGCGTCGGACGCCGGGAAGCGATAACGGGCGGAACAGTGCACGTATTTTGAACAGCTCCGCGCTAGCGCGGAGAAGAACTTCGGGGTTTCAACGAGCGCGAATTTTTCATTCGTTTCCAGCTGCTTAAACCGGCGAACGCTTCCAGGCGACCACCCGCAGAAATTGTTATTTGATTATCGCGTTCGTTAAACGGCGCCGTTTTATTTGCGCCGGCGAATCTACACGCGCCCGGACAACCGTTTACCTTCAAGCACGAATGAAAACGCGGCAAATGAACGTTTCTCTTCCGTAACCGTCGTGCTACTTTCGTCGTTGCACCGTCGACGGATAGCCGTGATTTTTCCGATTCGAACGATCCCAAACACGACGCGAATCGCTTCGGTTTCAGCCGTTCGCAATATACCAGGTGACCGAGAAAACTCGACCCGTTTTCGCTGTTTCGCTTCCCGTTGATATTTCGAGAAGATATTCGAGCAGGACAGTTTCTCGGCGACTAATTATCGTCGCAATCGAACGAAAGAATCGACGACGGCCCCCGAAAGAAATTTCGACGCGATCGACCGTCGTCGGCTCGAGGAATATTCTCAGCTCTCAGCGGCGCGAACATTAGCACGACGGCCGGCCTTGTTCCCGGAAATACAGGCCGACGAAAATGGCCGGGGGGTGTGCCCGCGGCGTCGACGGAGAAAAAATTTCGCGCCCCGTACGCGGGGAACGAAACGGCGGCCTGGGTTAAACGCAGTGGCAAATTATAAATCATTTTAACGAGCTTTTGATTACCCGAGGTTTTTATGGGACGGGCATAAAAGTGTCACCGCGCGCCGATCGAAATACAAGCCGCCGCCGCCGCCGCCGTCGACGTCGACGTCGCTGGGTTTCCCTTATCGTCCCTGAAACCTCGTCGTACGCGGCGCGCGTGTCGCCGTATCGCGACGCGCGTTCGCCCGACGCGGTCGCGTAATCCCCCTGTGCCAGAGTCATTTCTGACTCAGATCCCAGGAACAAGATCTCTCGAGTTTCCGTTCGCCGGGGCGCTTTTCCCGGCGGCGACGTCGCACGACGGAGGCCCCGGTCGCTTTCACGGCGAAATTGTTTAAATAATCCGTCGGCGTCCGGCGTTGAACAACGAACCGGGCCGGCAACATTCTTTATCGGCGTAGCCGGGCCATGTAACGTATAATTCCGCGGGAGTTCCGCGGCAGAATTTTAATAAAGTCGCGTGCGTAAGCCGAAAATTTCCGTGCCTTTTTTTCTTCTTCTTCTCTTCTTTTCTTTTCTTCGAGGGAGCGAGCCCGGGGTACCGGCCGGGATAAAACAACGAACGGGATAAAATCTTCGCAACGGCACGCCCGGCTTTAATTAAGTTCCTCGAACGGAACCGAGGGGAGAAAAGGAGAAACTCGAGGGGGTGTTTATAACCCTGGAGTGAAAGACAAAAATGTAAAAAGAGAAGGAACGGGAGAGAAAGAGTAAGAGAGAGAGAGAAAGAGAGAGAGAGAGAGAGAGAGAGAGAGAGAGAGAGAGAGGGAGAGAGGATAAGATTTGCTGGTTTTAATAAATTCCCGAGTACACGGTGTAACTAGCGCCGTGAATTCCCTCGAATGTCACGCGATCCCAGTGCTGCCAGGCTGCCGGCTAAACCGTGACGTCGCCGGCGCTCGGATCACGTGACTAGGTAGCGAGCGGCGAGTGGGGGAACGTCCACTAGCAGCGCTACCTACTAGCGTCGCGGCACGACGCTGCGTTCTGCCGGAGCAGACACGTGTCTTAAGTAATTTGTAAATTTCCTCGCATCGGTTTTATTCTATTAAAACAATCATACTTTAATGTATAAGTGTCTTAAAAAATCACCTTTATATTCTGGAAATTTAATTATTACCATATTCTTCGACATGAAATAATTGAGCAATACGTGGCTAAGTAATATAATAATTGAGAAATATATACATTTTGAAATATATTCGAATATGAATAAATACCAAGAGAAGGAACAATTAGCAAGAAATGATATTTAAATAAATTACCGTGACGGAATAATATTTTTAATAACTATTCTTATTATTATCAGAGTCTTACGTCACCCACAGTTCGAATTTAAAGACACTGGAAGTTCTTCCCTTTTATTCTGCGTGCGTTTCCTTAAACAAGTGTATCGGATGAAAGAATTAGAATCACAATCATATCTCTGTCAGTGTCGCAACGGCCGTCGAACATGCTGACTCATCAACGCGTCCTTGCGCGCGCGCGCGTCGCAGTGTGCATACGAGCCGCCGTTCCATTTGCTATTGACATTACATCTTCGTGAAATGGCCCGCCCGTTCTTTGAGGATCCGCTTTGAAAACGGAC